GTATATTAAGATACAAGGTGTTCTTATAGCACCCATATTCATAAAAAGAAAATATCATCATTAAAAATAGAATGAAAACTTTTGAAGTTTTTCATTGTGTATATGATTTTATACAAACTGTAATTTTATATAAAAATAATTATCAGTTCAAATCCAAACTAGAAAAAGAATCTTTAATAATATTTTTTCTTTAATTAGTGATTTAATTTAGATTGTAGTGTTTTCATATGGTAAAAATTTATCAGAGGTCTAAATTTATTAAAACACATCAGATAGAATTATATGTGTAGTTCCAATTTGCTCACTTTTGTTATAATCATTGTGAATTCTTCATTGTGCTGAATATGCTATCTCACCTATTTCTAGGCCAGTATCTTGTCAGAGTTTGACGCAAGGTGGGTTTGGGACGCAGGAGAAATTATATAATTGTGTGTTCCCAGCTGTTACTTTTAATCTAATTACGAAGTCACTTTTTTCAAAGAGTCATGGAGGGGTTGGAAGGGACTCCAGGATGTGGTCTAGTCCAATCCTTCTGCTCAAAGCAGGGTCAGTTACAGCAGTTTGTGTCCAGTTGTGTTTTTAATATCTTCAGTGATGAAGGCTCCACAACCTCTCTGGTAATCAAGCTCGTGCATAGTGTCTGACTGGCCTTAAAGTAGAAGTTTGTTCTTGGATTTTAAAGGGAATTGCCTATGTTTAATTTAGTGCTTCTTGCTTCTTGTCTTGTCACTGGACATTGCTGAGAAGAGCTTGGTTCTGTCTTCTTTACTCCCTCCCATTGGGTATTTGTATGCATGGACAAGAGCCTGCATGAGCCTTCTCTTCAGGTTGAACAGTCTGAGGTCTCTCAGCCTCTCTTCACATGTCTGATGTCTCAAGCCTTAGAGGGGAAGGATCATGTCTCTCAACCTGCTGACAATTCTGTTTCTAATGCAGCCCAGCATACTGGTGGCATTCTTTGCCACAAGGGCACAATGCTGGCCCATGGTCTCCTTATTGCATAACAGAACCTATTCTGCAAGCTTCCTTTCCAGACAGTCAGTCCCCAGCATGTACTAGTGCATGAAGTTATTCTTTCCCAGAGACAGGACTTTGCATTTCCTTTTGTTGATCTGTTTGACATTCATTTCTGTTCAGCCTGTTGAGGCCCCGATCAGCATGACTTTAAAGAGATAATCAAGAGTGGCTTCACAGTAATATTAGCCAACTTATTCCCTCTTTGCAGCATCTTGAACTTCACCATCTCATACTCACTGCAGCCAGGGCTGCTCTTGACATTCACATCCTTGCTTGGTTCTTGTTTATGAGTATGAGGCACAGCAGAGCTACCTTCATCATCTCCCCAATTACCTGTGTCAGGAAGCTATCAGTGCACTCTGGAAGCTTCCTGGATTGCTTGTGCCCTGCTGTGTTGCCCTCCACAGGGTTAAAATCCCCATAAAGACCAGGGCCCATGAATGTGAGGCTGTTTCCAGCTGCCTAAAGATTTTGTTGACTTCTTGACCATGATCAAGTAGTCCAGACACAAAGTACAATATTAGTAGCTGTGGGCTGACACTGGGCTTTCCACTAATCATGACCCAATAACTCTCACTTGGCTCCTTGCTTGAATGAGCTTTCTCTGTTCCTGCTGCTCTCTCATATAAAGGGCACTTATATAGTCATGGGGAACAACAGAGTGATAGAGCACAGCTCCTGCTGTGTGGAGATGCTTGTGTTGTTTAATCTAGTTGAAGTTAATGATAGTGGGGGCTTCCTTTTGTGAAAAAATTCCACAAGCTTGATGTCACATACCTTGACTGCTTGATTCCACTCCCGTCCTGAGTTCTCTAACAGCTTCAGAAAAGCATCAGGACCAGATATATCTTGCTATAAAAGAAACTTGTTTACTATCGGTTCATTTATCTTTTTGCTATTACTAGAATGTCTTTGATACAACATCCCAAGACCTCATTGCTGTGCCTTTTCAAGGGCAAGGAAACTAATTCCTCCAATGTACAATGGGACCAAAAAGTTTTCAGCTTCCCTAGACACTTTCATTTGTTCCAGCAAAAAACCTTAATTAGAGTGGAGAAGATATGACCCTAGCCCTAGCCCTAACCTCCTGACAATTTTAATCAGTCCAGGTTCTTGGGACCACAGAGAGAACTTGACTATACTACTTTTATAAATATGAAAAAGAGGGAACTGTTTGTCATTAGTTTTCTGAATCTTACATTTGTGTTTCTTTCCTGTTAAGTTTTCTGTACCTGGTCTGAAATTGCTTTGCATCACTATTTATCTTGTTTTGACATTTATTCACATACCATTTTGTTCCTCCACAGTTCAACAGTACAGTTCAGAAAAATTGAAATTTTCATTCCTTTTTCTTCCTTTCTCTTACCTTTCCAGATCTCCCTGCTATCTCTTTGCATAATTACTCCTTCTTATTAAATCTGCAGAAAAGGTCTTTCTTATTGCCCTTAATTTTTCTCTAATTTCCAAAACATTTCCTAATATTTTTCATTTGATCTTGCTGTTCCTTTCAGTGCAGAATGCCTTAATTGACATCTGCTTTTCCTATACAGTTCTCTCTTTCTTCCTCTTCTTCCTCTTCCTTTCACTTCCTACCTACCTGCCTTTATTTCTCCTTTTCTACTTACCACTTCTGAATTCCTTTATTTCTGCCTTGCACAACTACCCTTTCTTCCTTTAAATTGCTCTGTTTCCTTTTGGGATTTGTTTTTTTCACTATTAATCCTTTCTTTGAAGTTGCATTTAGGATTAAATCAGACTGATTTTAAAGTCATAGACATCTAGGTGGTTCTGCCTGCTCAGACACAGCACTCTGTTCCCCCATTTCACTTCTAAGGTCCTTCATGCCACTCTGAATGTTTTGTTGTTTTTTTTTTTTTCTTCTTTGTGACTTTATTAACAGAAGCTATCCTAATCTTGCAATTGGTGTTTTTTGTTAGTTTGTTTGTGTTTTTGTTTCTCCTCTTTGTTTGGTTGATTGGTTTTTTGGTTGGTTTGTCTTTGGTTTTTTCTTCTCTTGTTCCTGTGTCACTCTTTGTACTTTCTCCATTCAGGTCTTATTTTCTTGCACACTTCCTACCCATTACCATGATTTTGAATGGGTAGCTCTTTAGATTTTCTTAGGTTTCTCTTTTCCATAATTCTCTTCCTCTGCTTCACCTCTTTTACTTAGAGTAGACAGTGAGACTCTTTCTGCATGTTGGAAAGAACCAGTCCCAAAGGTTCCTCACCTGGAAACAGCTAGAATGTGGAAGGATGATTATGCCTCTGATGTGTTACCTATATGAGGTGTCGCATCATGATGTGACACAATATCCTCCAGGCTCAGACCTCACTGTCCCCAAATGACAGCAACAGATAGATAAGGACTGTCCCAAAGTACCCTCCCTTTCTATATGCACGTACTGTTTTGTTCTTTCTGTCCATTCTAAAGTAGAATCCTTTCTGTAACAAACTTACAACCTCATCAGGTTCACTGCAGCTTAGGGGATGGTATACTAGACTTAAAAAAAAATTAACAGTGAACAGAAGCAGGCTGTTTGATGTCTTCAGCATTGGCTAAGACATATAGTATATATATACTGTTATATCTGAGTGAGCAGTTGCATATTTGAGAGTGTACACTTTGATTTTGATGGCATTTACTATTTATTTAACAGACCATAAATGTTCCAAACAAGCCATTATAGTCAGTTATGGATATCTGAACTTAAACACTTATTGAAGAGTGGATTTCTTGTCATGATATATGGAGTCATTAGGTTCTACAATATAAATACTTTGTGCTGTCCTTAGTTTGCAAATCACTAAAGCAGTTGTCTGCTCTGAGCCAGTCTCTGCACTGTGCATATATGTTGTCACAGAAATTGCTTTTAAAGTTGCAGAGGAGAATAATTGCTATGAAGCATCAAATTTGAAGTATAAATAGTATGAGCATCATAACTCCTTTCTGATTAGTTGTCTTAGTTTATTTTTTATCTTTCCCTTAAAAATAATTACAATAATGCTTTTGAGTTGTTTGAATTAAAAAAATACATAAGGAGTTAATTTTTACTGATTTAACACTGATAAAGTTTGTAGCTCTTCTAAATGAAGGAAGGTCTTCTGGTTTGGTTTTAATAAAAAAAATATGAGGAGTAATTTATCTTTACTGTGTCATATGCTTTTGGAGTAGTAGCTTCACAATGCCAACACCTAATCATCTCCCAACACTTCCATAAACAGCACAGATTACCAAGCATGTATGATTTTTTCTGATGGCTTCCAAGCAGCTTCTTCACAGTAATAATAGATGGCCATCAGTAAAGCCTTTTTCCTGCAGCTTTAATCTGCATGCATCTTCTAGATCATGGGCTTCAGGGACACTGAAGACTGCTGCTTTTATTAATCTTCATACTTGTGATCAAAGTGGTGCTTCTTAACTGTAGCCTTTCTCATGACTAAAAGGTTTTGTAAAATAATTTTACTTTCTCTGTGTATAAATGCTCAGGGCATCATTATAGGGGCCCTAAAGTGACTTCTTCAAGTCAAACAAGTTTTCTTACAAAGCTTGATTTTCAGCACCAAACTTTAAAAGAAATTATTTCCTATACAGTAGATCTGTCTGGGATGCAGTTAACTCTTTTCCTAGCAGCCCATAGGGTGATGTATTTTGCATCTGTGGCTAAAATTGTTGAAAACGTATCAATGATGCCCCATCAATGGGCCAATCAACAGGCCAACCCACTACGACCATGATAATCAGGGTAAGGGAAAGTCCAGTCATCTTAGACAAAACTGAAAATCTCTTGCCACAGAGTAATAAAAAGTGTGTGACTGTCAATTGAGTGCTGTCAATGCTGCATGTCAAATAATTATTATGCTCACGGAACCTGTGTTGTATAGTTTTTTCCTGTTACAGATTACATGACTGCTCCTAGATGTGTGTGTTGTGGAGTGCTGAATGATTTGCTACTTAATATCAGCTTTTTCTCTCTTGTTTTTAGCCCCTTGTGAAGCCAACACATTCTTTTGCCACAGTAATATGTGTATAAATAATACACTGGTCTGCAACGGACTCCAGAACTGCGTGTATCCCTGGGATGAAAACCACTGCAAAGGTAATGTTAAGGATTGAAAAAGTCAAATCATGTACACTGCATGAGATTCAGCAAATGATCCTCAGTTTCTTGTTAAGTATGTGCCAGGTTCATGAAAACTCAGGAAGAGTAATTCAGGAAGAGCGTACATCAAGCAATAGAGAAAATGAAGGGAGCTAAAAAATGCCGATGGATCTTACTTTCAGTGTTTGTATTCATGATGTGTCGTGTTGCATTGGTTACATCCTTCTGGCTGGCTATATGCTTCTGGGAGGCTTTCTGATCACTTTGTTTCCCATACAATCTAAAGTATAATTAAAAGTACTGTTTCAGTTCCTTTGTCATAGGTACTTTTGTAGTGGAGTAACATATGGGTAGCAGGTGTCTTTTAGCTGCATGCTATGCCCATAATAGGCCATGTGGTTTTAAAAGCCAAGGTGAAGTGGAATTTACACTGCAAGAAAACAAAGAAATCCAACTATAATCAAGTGAAATTGAAGAGTGAGGAACAAGCTCAGGAAATCAGGTGTAATGTCTGTTTCATAGGGAGGGAGGGATGTTCCTAACCATGTGTTGGCAGTGGTTTCTGCATATTGCTGTGTTAATGGAAAAAAAAAAAGTCAGCATCTGTGTTGTCTTCAGGGAAAAGAGCTTAACTAACTTACATTGCAGGCTTGGGAGACAGTTTGTTTCCCTCCTGCCCACCCCCATCCATCCCCACCCACACCCCCCCCCCGATGCAGATTTGTTCCTGGAAACATGGGATATGCCAAATTTAGGAACCAATCAAGAAAAAATTCAGAATGAGGTGGATTAACAGTCAGCCCATAAGTCTGCTGAAGCCTGTAAAATCCTGACAAGCAGTGCAATAGGGTAAAACACAAATGAAAGCATACTTCAAAGAACACAAACTGTGGCATAGCATAATATTCTTCAAAGAAACTAAACATACAATTGGGACATAATTATTCATTCTCTAGTTCTTCAGAACAGCGGAAAACAGGAAATCTTCACCACTCTTTTAATTTCCAGAATGATTTTCATCTTTCTTTTGCCAAGTATCTTTTTATTGGGTCTTGTGGGTTTATCCTCTCTTTTTTTTTTTAACTATGAAAAGGAGGTTTGCTGATTCCAGCAAAAAGGTTGTTTGCTGCAGTGCTGCTTTTTCCAAGTCTGCTTTTTCCCTAGAGTCTGTGTCAGTCAGTTAGAAAAACACTGGGTAAGAGTAGGCAATGGGGAGTACTGAAAAGTTAATTTTTGGAATCTAGGAGATTCTGAAGAGATGGATGTTGCTGTTTTGGTGCCAATAACTTTCATTTCAAAGGCTTTTTGTTAAGTTCTTTGATATGTTTTAGGTTGCCAAGAAAAATTACAGTAAACTTAATCACAATTATCGAGTCTTGCTATGCCTGAGAGAGAAAGATAAGAATGCTTTCAGCTGGAATTTCTACAGGGCTCAGTCACCATCTCATGTGCCTGCAGCCATTTGAAAGCAAATCACAAAGAAAGATACACAACAGTAGGGTGAAACTGGTTTTATTTTTATTATTTTAGTACATATTTTTGTTTATCATCATTCACAATACAATTTGCTGGCTAATCTATTAGAGGCCTCTGAGTAAAGGGTAGTAGACATGATCAGCTTTTGTGTTTTTATGGGTGTTCAGAAAAGTTTTGCAAATTAATAAAAAAAAAAAAAGAAATAACTTGCACCAATTTGTTTTTTTCCTTTCTCAAATCTAAGTTTGAATAACTTTTCTATTTTCTCCTGATTTAGCTTTTTCCTTGAGTGCTGCAGAATTCCCAGTCAGCTCTTAATTATTAGGACTTCAACACAGTTTGTAATGCAAAGAAAAATTTCTTTTTAAATCCTGCAAAATCTTGTTCTTCCATTGGTCCTAACGTCCTAGTTGCATATATTTACTGGAAGGGACAGAAATAATGAAGAGAACATCTGCAACAGTCTTGGGGGCTTTAGCAGGCAAATAGAGTTCAGAGGTTACACTGAAGCCATCTGCTTGTTACGGTGGTTGCTTTTTATAAAAAAACATATATAATTCTTTCAATTAATTAAGCCTGCAATATACCCTGAACAAATGACTTTCCAAGCGAATAGGCATACAGAGGACTTGTGTGTTGTTTATTTGGCTTTCATGAATACCTGATTTCTTCCTCTTTTCTCTTTTGTTGATGAGATTGATTAAGTGAACTGAGACATATACTAGGCTCAGCTTTGTAGTAATCTGTGAACTCATCATGGTTGTTTTTATTCCTGAACTGCAATTAATGCTATGCCTTTTTTTTTTTTCCTCTTGTCACACAGAAAAAAGAAAAGCTAACCTATTGGACCAACTTACCAATACCAGTGGGACTATAATTGGGGTGACTTCTTGCATTGTGATCATCCTCATTGTCATATCTATTATAGTACAGATCAAGCAGCCTCGTAAAAAATTTGTCCAAAGGAAAACAGACTTTGATCAAAATGTGTTCCAGGAGGTGTTTGAGCCTCCTCATTATGAGTTATGCACCCTCAGAGGGACAGGGACTACAGCTGACCTTGCTGATGTTGCAGATGACTTTGAAAATTATCATAAACTGCGGAGATCCTCTTCAAAATGCATTCATGACCATCACTGTGGATCACAAGTGTCTAGCATTAAGGGCAGCCGTAGTAACCTCAGCACAAGAGATGCTTCTGTCTTGACAGAAATACAACCCCAGCCTGTAAAACCACTTGTTCAACCCATGAACAGGAGAAATATCCTTGTCATGAAGCATAGCTACTCACAAGATGCTGCAGATGCGTGTGAGATAGACGAAATTGAAGAGGTACCAACCACAAGTCACAGGCTGTCCAGACATGATAAATCTGTTCAGCGGTCAGTATCAATAGATTTTTGATGAAGATTATTTTGTAAGGACTTGATTGGCCAAACATATTCCCTCTTTATTCAGTAAAGTCGTATTTTTTTTCTTCTTTACTTATTGTTTAAATTTCTGTTTGCTGATAGTACATACTATTACATTATTTCTCTTCCTGTCTCTCTTTCTCTCATCTCTGCTCCTGGTTCCTGAAGGATCCTGTATCTCAGCTTTACATTTCTACTTTATTTCTTTCTTTTATTTTTACTATTTTACACATATCCACATGCATACATACACAGGTCAACAGAGAACAGGTACAATTTTTAAAAACCAAAGAAGATTGTGTAAATTTAGTTTTTGGAAAAGCCACATATATGTGGTTTCCTTGTAACTGAGGTGGCCTTGAGTATAATCCACTGTTGGTCTAACCATCTCTGAGTCAATACATCAATAAATAAAAAAATACATGTATTGATTTTGGTGCATGACACAAGAATGAGGATCACAATCCTGGGGTAAGGAAACCCCTTTTATCATGAAATGTTAACTTTTATATAATGAATGAAAATATTTTCAAATTTTAATGTATCCGTTCCATTATTAATCACAGTATTTTTGTCATACTTAAGATAGATAGACAAATTAGAACATGAGACACCATAGTGAACTCATATATTTACATATAAGAATGAAGCTAAAAGGAATCTTTCTAATCAATAAAAAAGGAAAGTCAAGCATGATATTTTTAATAAAAGACCTATTTTTTCTATATATTGCACTTTGAATGACTGTAAATATGAATGATTAAAAATTTACGAGCAAAAGAAAAAAGCAAAAACATTTATGAACAATATATTTAAAAAACACACATAACTTTTTTTATATATATTTGTTTTCTCTTCCATGCATTATTTATGCACTTCTTGTGACTGTTTACATGCCCTCCATATTTTCTTTGCACATTAAGGCATTTCTATTTCTTAAAAAAAAGTTATTTGACTATTTTAATCTAACTGCATGCCTGTGTAAATTACTTCATGAATATTGGTCAGATTATCAAAGTGTACTGTTTATTAAGTATATATATGCATATATTTCTTCTTTTCTATGCAAACACTATTATTTTGAATGAAATAGCCATAACATTCCAGGTTCTGCCTCATTGGGTCTCTAAGCAAACATGAGTCTGAGTACAACACAACTAGGGTCTAAGAGACAAACCTGAGGTAAGTAAACTTATGTATACAGCAATTGAATCATCTGTTGCTTTCCATTTAATTTGTTATTTTTCTGAAATGCATATTAGGTCCCAAACTGTATATTGCCTTGTATGGAGAGAGCCAGGGTTGAATTCCAAGAAAACTGAAAGACAGATGACCACTTTGACATTGCAAACTAAGCAAAATTTTTTAGTTGCTTATTCTTGACAGTACTATAATCAGCCCCAGCTAAATGCAATCTTCATTCCAAACACCTTATAAAGTCAGGTGCTTTGCATGTCTCTTCTGTTTCATTTTTTTTAATTATTATTTATGAAAATAAAATTTAGAGTCCCAGCATTTGAAATAGTACATAAAACTTGACAATCTAACTCAGGTCAGTAAGATGTGGAACTATCTGGCTTTGGTTCATTTTATTCATTCAACCTTGTGAAATGTTGGGGGAGGATTTGTGAAGTGTTGGGGGAAGAGTATGTGGTAGTACTGATAAATTTAGAGATTCTGTAGCACTGTTGTTAATGTTTTCAAATTAAACTCACTTTTTTGAGTCTATTCTTAGACTTTTAATTTTGCATCATTTTTATCAGCATTTAATCTCAATAAACATAATCTCAGATGTTTATAATAGACTTACAGATAGCTGCTAGTCTGTCAATTTATATATGTGTATGTATAAACATAGATATGTGTATATACATTTTTATGTGTATATATGTATAAAGCAATTTTACAAGGAAAGAATCCATTAATGGTTTTATTGCTTGTAGATAGATTAAGTAAATATTTTTCTGCATTTTTTCTTCAGAGAACATCTTTTAACTTTTTTTTTCCTTTCAGACAACTATTCATGCAGTCATGAAAACTCTGAATGGAAAAATTTATAATGAATTAACTGTCTGAAAGAAAGAGTGGAAAATTTTCTAATTTAATTTCATTGCCTTTATGCAAATCTAAGAAATATAAGCATATCTTACTTCTGTAGCAAGACACTCCCATTGCACAATAATATCTTTCTTTTGCAATGTTGTTGCTGGCCACCAAGTGCTCCTTAGTTATTAAATATATTTGGAGATTTGCCACAAACTTGAGGAAGAAGTTAGCTCCTAAGATTGACCCTTTTTTTTTAAGCATAGTTTTATTTGAGTTTATATATTTTATGTCTGCTTTTTACTTGTATGTTTTGTGATATGTGGAAGAAGATTTACATTGAACTTTTGTTATATGTACGTTGTTTTCATTATATAGACTGCTTGAGAATAGTGCGCTCCTGGGTGATTTTGAACATGCTACAATGAAATGTGAAACTATCGTCCTCGGAAACACCAGCTAGAGGTTTTATGGACTCTCTGACCAGCTATTCTCATGTCATGACAAAATTCAGCAAACAGTGTTGAGTAAAATTACTAGAAGGCAATAAGACTTTGGTTATTATGCTTATCAGTCATTTCTCTTTTTCTTTTTCTCTCTTCTTTTCGTTACAATTTAAATTCCCAATTTCAGGAACAATTTATCGAAATCAGGTATTTAGCCATTCATAATCACTTCAATAGAAGCATTTGTTGGATAAGCATCTAGCAATATGACTGAATTTGACATTGAGAAATTAATCTGCATGTTTGTTACTGAATATTTGAGTTGGCAAAAATCCCTTTATTAGACACATTGTAAAAAGCATGCATTCACAATTATTGCTGTTACTGTTCCATTTCTGTGTCATATGCTTGCTACTTGTAACTTTTTATATAAAAATACATAAAAAAATGTATAATAATTTCGTACCCTGAGTTTAATGGCAATGTTTTCTTTTACCTAATTTATCAATCCTGTGTAATTTGGGAGATTGACCTCAAAAAGTATCTTCTAGGAATTTAAAACCCCGATACAGCAGGAAATCATCTGTCTCTCATCCCTCACTTACTGAAAAGCAAAATACATTTTTTTTTACAATTTAAATGGATTCATATTACATAAAGCTGATCACTTAATTTCAGTTCAAAGGTTTGTGATAAGCTGTATGCTCAATTCTGTACTCTTCATTAATTTATTTCCATGGTAATTAATAAGAAGATTACTTCAGTGTAGTAGAGTGGCAGATATTTATCGGTTACACAAATGTTATGTCTGGGTTCCAATTTTAGAAATACAGATATAAACCACTTCCCTATGCAAGATAAAATTATATTCGTCATTCAAGCTACAAATATTAGCAACTGACACCAAAATTACACCTGAGAAGTTGCGTTATTATAGGTTGAAGAGCCAAAATTATGTAAAGTTGAAAGTCCTCTTATTTAAGAACTCAGTAACCATGCATAAAATCATAGTTTCATTATCTATGTAAAGTGTTACCTTCCAAATTCTGTTTTAAAACAAATCCCAGTTCCTTCTTAAGCATCTTGTGTCATTCATGGATGATATAAAAATGTTGCTAGATTTATTGAAAAAAGCGTAAAAAATTCCATGTATCTTCCCAAAGTATAAAAAGATAGGAAAAGAGAAAACCTGAAAGACTGACATAAAAAATAAGGTGATCTATATGAGCTATTTAAATATACAGGACCTAATTTGTATAATTAAAAATACAGAAAATTTGATTTCTACAAGTGTGATTTAGGAATGACATGAAAAGATGAAGGGTTTTAGGTATTTGATTACTTTTTTTGTACACTAAATTTACAATATATTTTACACAACTCGATTTTAGCTTAATTAAATTGTTTGCTATCACATATTAGCTGCAAAAGACACTCCTCTGTCCTCTCCAGTCATTGAGAGTCATTGAGTCATCCCTCAGTTACATGTGTTTGTAGCATGCACTAATAGTTCATTTCCAGATCAATATCTATTTATAATTCATATACTTTATCACTGCTTTTTCCCTTAATCTTATCAAATCCTAGCTCATCATCCTTTCTTAAGTATATTATATTATTTGCCACATACATGCTTAAAATGGATGCATCTGTGCATCCATTTTAAAATAAAGGAAGAATGGAAGACTTGTTAGAAGAAGTGCATATAAAGCCACAAACATTTATGCATATTTATAAATATTTGCTAATGGAGATAGTGTATAAATAAATATAAAAGGAAAATTCTAGATATTAATTTAGCTTTGGATGAATTGTATTGGTCTCAGAAAAATGCTTAACTTTTGGTTTTTATAATTGCTATATATTTAAGTGCCTAAATCCCCTGAAATACAGAGTTTGTCTAGTCCCTTCTAGACAAGTGCACAATAAAATTAATTTTAAGATTCTTCCAGTGAAGTGTTGACTGAAAGAACTAAACTGGAGAAGACATGGATTTTAATAATTACATTTCATGCACATCCTTGCTTTCTTTTAAAAATACCTAATTGTGTCACAGAAAAAGAAGGGAATAACATCAAACCTGTGTAAATAGGGCAAGTCAAACAAAGTGAGAATGTTAATGCTTACTTGATTTTGGAAACTCCTTTAGAAATATGTTGCCTAATAGCGAGGTATACCCTTAAAGAGAAACAGCACTGTGAATTGCAAAATATCTGTAAGCTATGGGAACAGGGTCAAATTATATCTATTAATATAAATGAAAATAAATTCAAACCTAGTTAAAATATTATAATTGAAATATTCAATTCCAAGTAATTAAATGCTTTATGTAGTCAGCAAATAATAGCCTAGTCCACTATACTGCAAACAGTAAAGAAAACTTTAGTTTCGTATCACACAACAGTAGGATATCTTAATGTGAAACTCAAAATATTGAAATAAAAGGAGTTGTTGCTGGAAGTAAACAGCTTTCTTTTCCTATGAGTATTTTCTATTTTTAGGAAGCTACTCTTTTAAAAGCAGAAGGTAGTTCAAACAAACTTTCTGTTTTATGGAAAGAAAGTTTGGCTTGTTAAATTAACATAGCTATATGTGTTAATACTGTATAACAAAACAGTAACTTACAGTAAATTAGCAGAGCTAGTGGTCTTAGCTTCATGCATTTTACCTCATGTTAGCCTTAAGCTAAAACTAAGAATGGTATTTACTAGATCATTTTGGTTTGACTGGTGCAATGTGTTTGATCTACAGTTTTGCTGACAGTATGCCTATTTCTTCTATACTTTTTAAAAATTAGGTTTTGTTATAGTGCATTGCAATATTGTTCATAGTTTTGTGCTCTGTTTTTTTTTTCCCCATGGGTGTGGTGTTATGTATATGCTTTTCTTTTTGTGTGATAGTAGTTGAGCAACCACTCCCAAATATTTTTTCTCTGCTCCAGGAAAAATGGCCTTTTCAGTTTGTGAAGTCTTTTCTGCAGCATCATTTGAAAAATCTCAGGAAGTCCATTTTGTAAACCATCCTCATTTATAGCCTTTCTATCTTCACAATCACTTGAAGAAAAAAAAACCAACACACGACTCCGATAAATGTCAGTACCTTATCCTTCTATTTTTCCCAGTTTTTATGCCGGAGATACTCTCTTGAACCTAGCAACAATGTAACAAATGAGAGGGAATAAGAGAAAGTAGAAAGGTGTCCTGCTCAAGAGAAATTGCTAGAACAAACAAAACAAAACAAAGAAAAAACAAACAAAGAAAAGAAACACAGAAAGGTGTCATAATTAGAGGAAGAGTATGAAGGATTGTTGCTCATACCCATTTCCAAATTTGCAGACACATATAGGACAGATTAATTCTTCACCCACCAAATAAAAACATACTGTCCATGTCAAGTTCCAAGAGACAGAATACCTGTGCTTTATAGAACACTGTCCTACAAACAAGAAGTTGGCCTTTTGTGCTTTTGTGTACTTTATGTTTGTCTTCTGCCACAAAGATATTTCAGCTGAGGGAGCACAGCTGAAGTCCTAAGGGATACTACGGCACAAAAACTGCAAAGCTGCTTTGAACACAGAAGTCTGTATCTGATCTGAAAGTATTTTATCTCCTCACTCCTGACTCAGCATTTCATGTGTAGTCCTGGACTCATGACTCCACTGCTCTTCTTCATCATTACCTTAGGATCATCTCTCTTTGCTCTTTGATGATCACTTTACATCTCTATCACTGCTGCCTTTCATTTCTGTCCACAGTGAGTTTAGTTCTGTTTCCATCTCTCCTCAAAATTCACTGAAAATGCTGAAATCCTAACAGCTCACTTACCTTGTTCTTCTCTTACATTCACCTAGCTCTTTACCATCTATCACTTCAGAGCCATCTTAATTGTCATCATCATCATCATCATCATCATCATCATCATCATCATCATGACAATTAAGATGGCTCTGAAATGATAGATAGCATCTTAATTGTACCTTGCCTATAAACAGCAAAATGGAAACATGAGATCTCAGCATATCCTAGTCACCCTTAATTCATGTAGCACAACAAAAACTATGAAGGTACATTGGAATGGACTGGTGGGTGGGTTCATTAGGGATACTGGATTTGTATTTTAACCACTGTGCATCAGTGTTGTCTAGGCTGTCTACCTCTGGGTTGGCATATGTGCTCCTGTGCTAACCATACCTCAGTGTGCATCCACCCTTTTTCTTCTCCCAGTTTACACCATCATCAAATAATTTCCAGCCCTTCTCTGTTTCCTTGTCTGCTGTATTTAGATTAGTATGTATCACCACACAACATAAATCCTTGTCTTAGTCTCCTTCCCATACCTCTTGAAACACTGCATAGCCTGGCAAACACCTGCTAGTGCTGTGGTAGAGCTATAATCAGCAAGGTAAGAACATCAGCTACCAGGAGAAGCAGGAGTTGCTGCTTCCATGCATTTTCTTTCCCAGGAAAAGGAGTTGTGCTGATCCACAATCTCCCAGCAAGGTCACTATGGGAACAAAGGGAAGCTGCTCTCCAAGCAATAAATCGTTACTAAGAGTAGAGAGACAATTTAAGAAGCCAATGATGAAAAACGGAAAGAATGAGACTGCTCAGATTTCTTTACCAAAGTAGTAGGTCTGACTAACACTGTGCAGCAGCATTTCATCTCTTCATTCTCAGATAAAGGAAGATTGCAATTCAAGTCTTCTTTTTCCCAGGGAGAAGGATGCCACAACTGTGAGTACTGACTCTATTCAGAACTCTGGAAACACTTAACAGCTTCTTGTGTAAATGTAGGCAGACAAGGACTTACTGGGCCTATGCGGGTAGTCTTGAGCTGCCATATACAGCATCTGCAACACCTAGTTATTTAGATCTTTTAAGTTTTCCATTCTTCAGTTGATCCTCCTCAGCTCTAGTGAGATACATAAAAAGCACACTCAACTATTTAAAAAACGGTAGCTTTACTGGAAAGCAATTACTTGGTATTTAATTTAGTTGGATGTGAAAGGTAACCATGGTGCTTGCTGCTGCTATTGTGGGTAAAAAAAAAAAAAAAAAAAAAAAAGAGGTACTTTTTTTGCACAGATCCTGGATAAATATATCTGGTTAAATGAACCGTTCAGTTGTATCAACTGCATCAGTAAATGAAAAAAACAAGGTTTTGCTTATAAAACTGATTATAAAACTGTTTCATGGTCTAGTCACATTCTCCCTCCAGATCCTGCCTTTTTTTCTGAGTTCAGTGAAAATTTTGGTTTGGAAAAATGGTTTCATTGAAAGTGAATGACTTTCCCCATTTTTAGTGAATCAAGGAATATGATTTATATTGGGAAAGGAGAGCTTCATTCTCATTTCTTAGTGCTAGAGGGGGTTTCAGCATAAAGCAGCATAAGCTGCTTTCTCCCTTTGTTTGAAAAATCATTGATTTAAAATAAGATTAATGCTCTATACTTAGGTGA